TAAGTAATGCATTTTGAATTCACAAAAATGTGGTTTGGCAAAGAGGGCATTGCTGGTCCAATAGCAGTCAAGACGGTACAATGGATCAGAAAAACAGCGGCTTGTAAGGTGGTCAATTGGCAAATGAGTAACACCCGTGTCTTTGCAGTGATTGGGCAGGAGAGACGCCATAAAACTATTCCAGAAAATGCCACAGGAAGAGAAAGAACTGACGGGGAAGCTAAACACCTACGCTACTGTATTAGTTCAGGAATCAGCTTCCAGAAATGATCAGATGTGCTCCAACATTAGGCAAAATCAAATCAAGACATAAAACACATCTGTTTAGCTGTGCCTTTACTGAATAAGCACTGTGCTATGCCTGACGGATGGCACTATTACTGTATGTCTTTTCTCTTTTTATTAATTTAAAACCTGTTTTAACACATCGTAATCAGTTTTAAATCATTTTTATTTTTTGTTATTGTTTTTATTTTCTAATACCTGTATCTTATATTTATATGTTCTTGTTTATGTAACGCACTTTGAATCACCATTGAAATACACATATGAAATGTGGCATATAAATAAACTTGCCTTGCCTATCACTAGTAGACAGCGCCCTCTAGTGGATCTGATATCTGCAACGTGCAACGAAATGTATTTCAAATATCACAGCTATTTCTAAAGAGCGTGAGCTGAAAATGTGTCCCAGATTCTCAAGTGAGAGTCACTTCATGAGGCACAAAACGCATGATCTAAATAACACGGTTCAATAGTTTATTGCGAGATAAAGATCTGAGGTTTACAAAGACGTGCTGACGGCTGTAAATACTGATCTCCTTCATTGCCTGATCAAAACGACAGTTCAGAGCCTCTGGGTGTTTGTCTGCTGAACCACATTAAACAGCTGAAAACAAGCCACACCTTGTGTTCACACACACAAACACACTCTCCCTCAGACCGTATGAAATGATGTGTGAATGTCAGATGTCTCAGGCCAACAAAAGAGCTATGAATTGACAAATAAGACACGCTCAAAAGGGCTACTGAATGAAACTCTGTATACCGCATACAGAGGAAAGAGCATAAATGAGATCTGTACTGAAACCAATGTAAAACTGCTGTCTGTGTATGCTGAAACCCAAGCCAATAATGCCTAATTTCATAAAATGTAGTCAAAAAAACAAAAGGTGAAGTCAAATATATATATATATATATATATATATATATATATATATATATATATATGTGTGTGTGTGTGTGTGTGTGTGTGTGTGTGTGTGTATGTATATATATATTACTACACTTACAATTATGTTGAATTATTTATAATTATTATAAGCCAAATTAAAAATGTCAAAAATAATAAATGTTAATGTTTTTTTCAGTTAGTAGTTGCGATGTCAATAATTCTTGTTTGTCTTTGTATTAGAAAACTCTCAAACTGTGCATACTGTAGATCAGAACATGAACGTATCATATTCTTCAAGATCTGTGTATTTAATGAGAAATGCCATTAACCTTCACACATACATTTTTTCAGTATTTCTCTTATGAGAGCACCATTAACGCTGGTTTGGTGTGATTATTCAGCACAGGATATAAAATAATAAATAAAAAGTTTATTGTACTATATAGAATTCACCCTGATGGAGTTTGAGCGGTAATGCAAAGAGGAATGGGTAAAAATCCCCATAGACAGGTGGGCCAAGCTTGAGGCATCATATTCAAAAAGACTTGAGGCTGTAATTGCTGCCAAAAGTGCATCAACAAAGTATTGAGCAAAGGCTTAGAATGCTTGTGTACACGTGAATTTTCAGCATTTTTATTTTTAATAAATTTGCACAATTTCAAAAAATCTTTTCACATTGTCATTATGGGGTATTGTGTGTAGAATTTTGAGGAAATAAATGAATTTAATCCATTTTGGAATAAAGCTGTTACATGAAAACATGTGGAATATGTGAAGCGCTACGAATACTTTCCGGATACACTGTATATTTAAATATATATATATATATATATATACACACACAATACATAATACATTTTCATTCAATATATGAATAGTCATTTTAATGTCACATTTTCTTGTCATTGTTTTTAAACCAAACAAAACCTATAAGCTTTTATTTTGGTGGGTTGCCTGCAAATAAATCAGTTAAACTGCTGCTTTTAGACTGAAGTGTGTGTGTGTGTGTACAGTAAATAAATTGACTAGATTAACAATTAGTGAAGCGTCACAGTTTTGCTCTTGGCTCTGTAACGTTCACAGCCTGTTTGTACTTTCATTTTATGCTTTCATTTGATCAACCTAAACTAGTCATTGTGCATTAATGTTTTCATTTTGGTTGGATGGAAATTCATAATTTTGATAAAACTATTGATTGAAGGGATAGTTTTTATTTTTTCATTTTTGTCATCTATTACTCATCCTCCACATCCTTTTTTGAGCACAACAGAAGATATTTTGAAGAATGTTGAGACAATAATAGCCATTGATTTCCATGGTTGGAACAAAAAAAGTCTGCGTAAGTCAATGTCTGTTTTTCCCCCAACATTTTTTCTCAATGTGTTCAACGGAAGAAAAAAACAACTAATGAAAGTAACTTGTACTAATTAAGTTTGAGTAAACACTGATGAAATTAAATATTTTGGAGTGAACTGTCAGTTTAAGAAGACCTAAAAATTTAAATATAGTTTATATTACACTCACACAAAAGTGATATTACAAACACAAAAACTGTCTACTTCAATGGCTGAAATTATACCTATACTTAAATATTTTTTCTAATCACTTTGTCAGAAAATTATTCAGGCATACCACCTAAAATCCCTATAAACACTAATGCAAAGACGATATAAACTCGTTTAACTTCTCTAATTTATGTCAAATAAAGCCTTTTAGCTAAATTACAAATAAAAATTTATACTTAACAAAACATAAAACAGTTCAAAGTGTCGACACAATATTTCATACATATCATATACAGTTGAAGTCAGAATTATTAGCCCCTCTTTGTTTTTTTTGTTTTTTTTCTTCTTTTTTAAATATTTCCCAAATGATGTTTAACAGAGCAGGGAAATTTTCACAGTATGTCTGATAATATTTTTTTCTTCTGGAGAAAGTCTTTTTGGTTTTATTTCGGCTAAAATAAAAGCAGTTTTAAATTTTTTAAGAACCATTTTTAATATCATATTTATTAGCCCCTTTAAGCTATTTTCCCCCCCTAGTGTCTTCAGAACAAACCATCATTATACAATAACTTAACTAATTACCCTAACTTGTCTAACTAACCTAATTAACCCAGTTAAGCCTTTAAATGTCACTTTAAGCTGTATAGAAGTGTCTTGAAAAAATATCTAGTCAAATATTATTTACTGTCATCATGGCAAAGATAAAATAAATCAGTTATTAGAAATGAGTTATTAAAACTATTATGTTTAGAAATGTGTTAAAAAAATCTGCTCTACGTTAAACAGAAATTGGGTAAAAAATAAACAGGGGGACTAATAATTCTGACTTCAACTGTATAAATATTTGTATAACAACAAAACAATGCCTCTCCTCCTCTGCATTGCTCTATATAAAACTGCTGAATATACAGTGCTCAGTATAATTGAGTACACCCTATTCTGAAAATGAACATTTTGATCTATTTCTCTTTTCGATCTATATAGGCAATGTATTTTGGTGCATCTAAACAAAACAGATTTATTAAACAGATATATTTATTAAAATATTATTTTAGTCACCAAACATATTTAGAAATTAAAGGATAATTCAATTAAATTCAAGCAAAATATTGCAAAAAATAAAATAAAATTATATATATATATATATATATATATATATATATATATATATATATATATATATATATATACACTACCTACAAACTTTCAACTAATTTATTATTTTTTTGCTTCTCTTTGATTTTTCTTTATTTTAAAAATTTATATTTAATATTTTTCATAAATTTGGGTGTATTAGTTTGTTTGGACCGTTATCATAAGTTATTTTGTTAGATAAATTTTAGATTTGGCTTCAGTACTGACTAATTTAATGTATAGGCTCAAATATAACATTGTGTAGCTTCCTATTAAAATTCTTAATGTAAAAGATAGATTTGTGAGGGGTGTACTTACATATGCTGAGCACTGTACAGTATATACAGAATTTAAGACAAGTAGATTATAAGTAGCCAGAAAGAATCTGCGGACATTTTTTGCTATTCCTGCAGAGATTTTAGTAAAAGAAATCTGCGGATTTATGCTGAATTATTTTAGGAGTATCATAACTAAAAACGTAATATATAAAATAAAAATACATATTTTCAACTTTTATTTAACGTTTACAATGCAAATCCATCTAGATCCATTTATTTGGTAAACAAAGCAAGCCTGTCATATAATATAGCTACTAAAACACAGAAGATTTTACTTTGCAAACTGTATTGTAAATAAATCACATGCATCTTTTCATATTAGTCAATAATATTACTGAGATTAATTAATAAAAACAGAATAAATATAAATGTACACCCATTTACTCAAGTAAATAAACAGAATTAATGATGGGCTAAAAATCTGCGGAAAAAGTAATCTAACTAAAAATCTAAGTAAAAGAAATAGTTAGTGAAAGTAACAGTAAAGTAACTTTAAAATTCCAGTCAACTTAAAAAGTATAGTAACTACTTACTTTGTAACTACTTTGTAATTACAGCTAACACTTTTATTAACTATGATCTTAAAGATGCTTTTAATATGATACATGTCCGATTTGTTAGTAGGTACACTACTGTTACACTGAATTACACTGTAGTGGGAGTCATGTATAAATCATGGTAAAAATGTCTGATGGTTAAAATGTTTGCTCAGTGAATATTAATAAAAAGAACACATCCAAATGTACTGTACAAAAAAAGCATGAATCTGTATAACACTTTGCCACAGAAGCTGTAGCTGAAGGCGTAAAGCTTGCAGCACTGGATGGTCAGCATAAGAGATCCCCTTACCTTGATTAAAACTACATCCACAGTTGTCTCTCCTTTGGCGCACAAACTATACCTCCGCTTGTATCGCTCGTACATCTTTCCAACACGCGGAGCCGGGAGAAACTGTGACAGTGAACAAAGCTTACTTCCCACATGAGCTCCTGACAGGCACAAACTCCACGGCTCAAGCCTTTGGAAAAATGAGACGCTGCTAATCTTTCACATCTGTGTGAAGGTCCGGCCCCCTTTCCCTCGCTCTTCCCCCACTGCCCTCTCTCGCTCTCTCTCTCTTTCACACACTCGCATATATGCAAACATGAGTCTCTTTTCCATGCGTCTGCCACAATATTGGCTCTCTCTCACATATTTGCACATGCATCAATGGAGTGCTTTTTAATTTCCCCAGTTAAATTATTTAGTTTAATCAACGGGATAAAGTTAAATATTTTTCACAAGTTTTATATATGCAAACTATATTATTAAGTGAACACCGATGTCTTTACTGTTTTCTTTTTACACTTTGGTTTGAGCAGTCGAACTTTATTTGGTAATGTCATGCCTACTAACAAGAAATCTAAAGCCTAGTTCACACTAGGATGTTAAGCTTGATTTGAGGCCGATTTGGAAGTTAATGAGCTCGCTGACAGATCAAATCTGCGGGTGCTCGGCGCTCGGCTGTCTTTATGTGTGAACTATTGAGCAACGAAACAAAGAGGCTCACTGACGTGTCGCTGACACCTCGCAGACAGAAATCCAATATCTAGCATGCTGAATATTCCAGAGTAGTCGGGCGACTCAACCTCACGTGCGGTCAGATGTAGTGACGACCTGCAGCCAATGAGAGAGCGTATCAGCATAAGCAGTATGGCTGTTTTGCTCAGGAGCTCAACAGAAACGTCTGTGATTGGCCAGAATGGGCATTGATGCATTCACTTCATTCTGTGTTAACACGGACACCAGAGTATGCTATATAAAGAGGGGAACTAGAGTTCTGTAACACTTAGAATTCTGACCGTTCTCATATAAGAGGTCATATTGTCACGTCATGTTTACATTTAAAGCTTCTATTGAGATATTAAAATAAAGCTTTTGAATGTTTGAAAGTAATTTTTTCTGTCTGTTAGTAAACATGTTATAGGAAAAACTTGCTTTGTCCACCATATAAGTTGGTTTTGTAAACATTAAATAAAGGTTAAAAATGCATTATTTTTTATTAGTAACTAAATAGTTTTTAGTTATGATACTCCTAAAATTATTCCACATAAATCCGCAGATTTTTACAAAATTCTCTGCAGAAATAGCAAAAAATGTCCACAGATACTGTCTGTTTGTAATTAAAATAGTGTTAAAATATTTACAAATAAACATACACATATTAAAAAAACAATAAATATTACAATTAAATTAAAATTGTATAAACTGGGGAAGGAAAATGGATAAAACGATACTCAGTAAGGCAACATTTTGTAATCACATTTAGCATCTGAAGTACTAAAATTATGAAAATTAAAATAAGGCAAAGCTTTTGTTACCTGGAATGAAATAAATTTTATATTAAATAAATAAAAAATTACAATTCTTTTTCTCATTTTTATTTAGTTTCACTTAAAAAAAATACCAAATTAAAGCTGAAATTACAATGATTACAAATAAATGTAATAATAATAAAAAATAAACAAATTACTAATTTTTACAAACAAATTACTAAACCTAAAATTACAATAAACATATAAATCATATTAAGATAAAACTTTAAATACACAAATACATATACATGCACACACACGCACGCACGCACGCACGCACGCACACACGCACGCACACACACACACACAGAATTATGGTAATTAGTATTAAAATGACAAAAATGTATTTTTTTCACATAAGTATTATAATTACAAGTACTAAAAACTGATTTCAATTATAAATAAATACTTTACTAATATATTAATAATAATCATATGCAGCATTGGTTGCCATGTCCTCCATATCAATTTCCCATGCTCTTACTCTTTTGTAATATCCCTAAACTAACAAAAGCCAGTTCCTTGATGACATCATTATCCTTCAGGAAGTGACCTCATTTGGGTGGGAAAACAACACTTCTAATCTCAGCGAGAATTGGAAATGGATTTAAAGAGTTGTGGGGCTTATTTCACTATAAAACATTGGCAAAAAACATTGACATTAACAAATACATTCTCTGTGAGCACAGGCTGACTTTAGATCTCTATTTTTATCTTTCTAATTGTCCTGCTACTGTGTAAATAATCAAGCTTAAAATAAAATATCTCAACCCTTTTAGAGAAAATGCCCCCTTATTAGCATTTCAGATAAAACAATAATCATCTATATTTTAAATGTTTTTAAATCATCCTGTCAGGAAAATCCTCTTTGTTTCCTTGTGGCTCATTTGTATTTCCTTTTTCTGAATGGATTGAGTTCAGTACAGGACATGCAGGAAAACCTGTCCGGCGGGATTCACTGATAACTGCCCTCATATCTTCCTACACAACATTTATTATTGTCGTTATGGTTAATCTGAAACACCAAAAAAAAAAAAAAAAAAAAAAAAAAAAAAATATATATATATATATATATATATATATATATATATATATATATATATATATATATATATATAATTTATGTTTGCTTTAGTGTTTTTTGTGTTAGTATAATATTAATTTTATTATACTTCAGCCATTTGCTAAAATCATTTAAATTCACTTTTTCCTAATAAATTTACATACAGCACCCCCACATTGACAAAAAAAAACACAGAATTGTTGACATTTTTGCATATGCAAAGTCTTTTTATTATGCAAAGTCTTTTTATTATGCAAGTCTTTATTTATTCAATAAATCTCTGTAGCTTATCGTACACAATAATATTCCTTTACTTTGAAGTGAAGTACTCTAATTACTTAAACGGTAAACTGGGTTTGGGAAAACTACAATTATAAAATAATTGTATCTTATTTTACTCCTTTGTCAAGGCAAAAAGTTCTCCTTTTTTGGCTAGTTTCTTGACTTACTAAATAAACCAATTTTTTTATCAAATAAATGTAATAAAATGACATGATTCAACAAAATTACTAAATCACTAAATCAAACAATTATGAAAAATAAACAAATTGATAACGAAAGCCAGTGTGGTTGAATTCACTATAATCAACTGGATAAAGAAACATATTTTGAATATTTATACTTTTAATCTGAGCAGTTGTGAGTAATGTCCGTAACTAATAAGAATTTTTTTATATTAAAAAAATGTATAAAATGATATGAATCAAGAAAATAAAAAAAACTTTAAACAATAATGTAACAAATATGAAAACAATAAAATAACTTTTTATTCACTACTCAAGGCAAACCAAAAAATAAATAAATAAATAGCAATGGCGCAGTAGGTAGTGCTGTTGCCTCACAGCAAGAAGGTCGCTGGGTCGCTGGTTTGAACCTAAGCTCAGTTGGCGTTTCTGTGTGGAGTTTGCATGTTCTCCCTGCCTTCGCGTGGGTTTCCTCCGGGTGCTCCGGTTTCCCCCACAGTCCAAAGACATTCGGTACAGGTGAATTGGGTAGGCTAAATTGTCCATAGTGTATGAGTGTGTGAATGTGTGTGGATGTTTCCCAGAGATGGGTTGCGGCTGCATCCACTGCGTAAAAACTTGCTGAATACGTTGGCGGTTCATTACGTTGTGGCGACCCCGGACTAATAAAGGGACTAAGCCGACAAGAAAATGAATGAATTAAATAAATAAATAATAAAATATTAAAATTTAAATAAAATAAAAAAATTATAAAATTACATGAATCAAAATTACTAAACTATAAACAAAAATTTACGATAACAATAAATATACTAATTGATAACGAAAGGCAGTCTTGTTGAATTCACTAATTTAATCAACTTTATAAAGTGAAATATTTTGTTTATTTTGTGTATTTATACTTTGGTCTCAGCAGTTGTCCTTTTTTCTTTTTCTTTTTTTTTTATATTCCCCTGCATAGTTATAAGAAAGCTAAAATAAAACTCTTCCTTTTAGTTAAAAAACAACAACTGAGACCTTAAAATGTATATAAAAAATTTTTATAATAAAAATGTTTAATATTGCTGTACCCAACAAAAACATGTACGAATAAGACCATTATACTAATCGATAATGAAAGCCAGTCTAGTTGAATTCATTAATAACAGCCTTGATCCTGTGGACACCAGCAATGAAAGCGTTTCAGTTTTTAGCGCGGAAGATATAAACACAATCACAAACACACCCTCAGCGCAGAGGAAACAAGCAGAGCTACACCTACAGCTGATTTCTTCCATCTGCTCATGATCTCAAGAGGTGAAGCCAGCAGAAACTGTGTGCTGCCAGGATAGAGCTGCTTATAATTTGCAGGAAAAGGCCTTCAGTGGTTGTGGTTCAAATAAAAAGGTTGACCCGAGCCCCCCACATTCCCCCAAACAGTTATAAAGGAGCCTGTGAATGAACAGCTGGCCAAGAGTTCACGACATTAAACTGTCAATGTCCAACAGGGGAAGCCTGGTCTGAACAAACTGCACCCATTACTTTACTGTTTACAACTAGTATTATGAAGAGTTTTTCTTGATCCAATCATAAGTGGGCGTCGCTTAAAGAGAGGAAAAAAAAAAAATCCTCAGGTCATCAAAGACATAGGTGACTTTTTTTTATAAAAATGCAATATAAAGAAGATTTTTAGCTGAATTAATAGGCTCACACCTTGTTTTAACAACTGTATGTGAGATTTAGATGTGTTGACATTAAGTTGACTCAACTTAGAATTGTAAGGCAACTTGCTGCACAGAATTTTTTTGTTGACACAACTTTTAACTCAACACTCAACAAATGATTTCTGCTGCCTAAAATTGGTTGAAACAAAACAATTTGTCAGTCTTTTTCTGAGACAATTTTATTGTTTTATGACCAATCCACTTAAATTTGTAAAAGAAAAAAAAAATAAGAAAGGTGCCCTACAAAGAAAGGCATAGTAGAATAATAAGAGATCAGTATATGGAAATGGACATACCATAAGCCTCAGACACCACCGTTTTCTCATTCTCATGTAAATTCCAGGAGTGGAAAACCTCAGTGGACAACGGGCCATTCAGATGATAAAAAAAACTGTGACAAGACTCACAGGCCACGACCGCATCATTTGCATGTATGCCTACTTTAGGTCATTCATCCAGACCTGATGAGTAATCACAATTTTAAGAA